TCTAATGTTCTCCTTAATACAGTCTAGTAACAGCAATAACTTTAATTGTGTATAATCATGTTACCGAAGGGTTATATAATTATTATTACCAGTTGATATCATTTGAACATATGCTAAACATTATAGAGCACTGAAAATTCATCCAACTCCAGTTTGAATCCTAAAGATAATATAATAAACTAATATATACAGGGAATCTCTAATTAAATTTCCATAAACGTCTTCAAAAAAAGAAAGATTAAGAGATGGTGAGGCAGATTTGTAGCTCAGGTGGATGATTTTGATGGAGTTTTGTTTTCTGAGCTGGATGGTTCGGTCGTGGAGTTTTCATCGTTCTTCTGAACAACATCATCAGTGACAATGACAGGTTTAAGGTCAACAAGAACCAATCAACACCGAGGTCTACTGGACAAGCTGTGAACCATATGTGGAGAAATTCGAACACTTCACTTCTACCTGAATTTTGTGCTGATGATGTCGTTCAGAAGAACGACGAAAGCTCCACGACCAAACCATCCAGTTCAGAGAACAAAACTCCATCAAAAAATAATAATAAATGATTAATATACAGCAGAATATATCATACGAAAAGTAATCATATTTAGACATTAAAAATGTCTACACAATAACAGATCCTATTCATAAAATTTGTGTTTGAACACACAGATACCATTCTGACTGAGTGTTTATATTATTTGAAAATTTCCGCTCAGACATTTTAAATCTATTTAAGATAGAAGGAAAAACCATCTGATTTCAGTATACTTAAGAGTAATAAATTGAATAGTAGAACACTTTTACTAGTGATTATTTATATCATATGTTTAATAATACAAAAAGAAAAACAATTTTGCTGACGTGAAAGCAATCCTGTGTTTAAGTCTATTTATATCTCGACTACATATATTGTCATTTGACTCATAATTTAATTTCGTCAATGAGTCCATTTTATCTATTTGGCAAGTAAACATAATTACACGGGATTTTGAGCTATTTTTATTGCACATCTAGATATCTCATTGAATATTCAAAGTTTTTATACTTTTTTAACAGTTTTTTTATTCCAAAAAAAGAAAAAAACTTCTAAAATTCCTGATCACCTTAATGTTGTATCAAGCTAATAATAACAATTTCATGGCAAGTGAATTTATGTAAACAAATAAGTAGATTTTATATTTCTATCATCAATGTTTCAATGTGTTTAAACAATATGGTTATTATTTTTTATTATATACTGAAATCAACAATATTCGCAATGTACATTGATTGATAAATTATAAAATCAACTACAAACACCTCTATTTCTTGAAATTATCTTTCTATATTTTCAGAAGTATCTGTGTTCTATAGTATCAAACATTTACCTGTATAACATGATGTTTGAATGCTATCGTATTATGCTATTCATATACAATAGGGTAGTAAAATATACCAAATTTAATGGTTAAGAGAGTCTACCATTCTGAACAATATCAATAGCATATATTTTTACGAATCGTACACCAATGTACCTCAATCTCCATGTGTTATAACACTGTTTACCTTCCAAGGCTAAATATCCGAAATCACAGGAAATAAAACAGTTTATGTTTTAATTAACGTACAATTAACATTTAAAGCATACACCATTTATGTGTTTTACATTTGACTTCTTGATCTAGTGCTTCTTTTCATTTGAATGTAATGTTTACAAAGCAAGACATATTTTTGTAATCTTCTTGTCCATTTGGTTATTTAACATTTTCTGGCCAGTGGTAGATCAACAATTTAAAGGCATTCGGCTATTAGGAAGATATTTCATATTTCTAAGTCTTAAAGCTCAGATAAACATGCAGTCTATTTTTATAATGGTAAATTCATAATACCATTTTTCTACAAGTTGTATCATTGAACATTTTAGGTTCACTTGCAATTTTACAGTCTTCATTGATAAATAGTAATTTACAGTCAATGCTTTATTCCATCAGTATTGAAAAGACATGAACAATAAGTTTACGAGCGTATTTTGTCAAGAAAATTTTCTACATTACTACATTTAAGCAGGCAAACTTGAATGATAAGAATGGTGGTTTGTAGAGATTGTAGTGATTTTAATGGTTGGATTCATGAGTCGATGTAAGCTAGACCACCATTGAAAACTTGGAAGCACTGAAAGGCCGTTCCGTTCTAGTATGGGACTCCTCAGCAGTGTGCGTTCACGGTCCCGCACGAAAGACTCAAACTCAGGACCTTCGGTTTCGTGAGCAAACGTTTAACCTCTAGGCCACTGAGTCGGCATCCAACGGTGTTGATGTCTAACTTCAATCGATCTATGATCTTGCACAACCATTCATCCGTGACCAATGGAGTTCAATCCGCGTCGGGTGTGGAACAATTACCTACTACAGACAATACATGAATGATTGCGCAAGATTATAGATGGTAGTTTTTTGATCATTCAATACTTAGTGCTGACCTCAATAATTTTAATGGCCAAAATTAATGACCAAGTATTTACATCACTAAGAATTTTTATATGAACGCTGCGTTACTCTTACACATCGCTAATGATGTCAGGCAAATTATCATGCTGACGTAAATACTATTACTTAAGCACTGATATTAGTATTATCTCATTTAGACGGGTGTCATTTTTCTCTTCAAATGAATAAAAACAGGAAGATAAAATTTATCAGGAAAGAGGTATCAACCTTGTTAGAAAAGCATCAAATGACTTATTTCCTCTCCAGACCGGATACTGAAGATCATTGTCTCAAATGTCTTTAATGTAACTTCGAAGCATTCAAAAACGTAAATCCAAATAACGAAGTATTGATACTGTAATATCCGTCATATGTAAGAGAACCCTTCGAGTATACGTTCTATGTGACAATAATCATTCGTTTTCCTATATATGTAATTTTATTCCTCTTAATCTTATGTTTATTGTACTTATTTTTGGTTCAAAGGAGATTATTACTCCTTTGCCCATAAATTCAGTTCTTCAATAGTACTTCTAATATTGTATGATATTTTCCTGAAAGTTTCACGTTATCTTTTTCCTAAACCTGAAGTCTTGTGTGATCCCACATTGATTTGTCATGCTTAACTGTCTATATTTTAGTCCATTGATTTGTCTCATCACTGGTAGACATAAAATAGTTTTTATTTGTCCTAAGCACATTTCCGCTTTCTCAAGTAAAGCTTCGTATCCACGAAAAATCTACTTATTGCATTGTAGATTTAATCACACTAGCTCTTTATAACAATATGTCGGTTGTAATGTTCAGATGTAATGCCTTTTAAATATTTTGTACACTTTTTAATGATACTTTAGTTTAAATAATGCCATAAATACGACAGGTCCATTATACTTTATTATCTTTTAGGGAGATCAAGCTTCGTCAACATAGACGCGTAAGCTATTGTGATGTTTATATGTAATATGACTACTTAGTTTAAGTTACAAAAATACGATACAATTTCAGTGTGCTCACTGATTTACGTCTGACTTGAATACCACTTCATTCATGACTGTTAGACTACGAGTTAGACAATCATGAGAAGCACTAGTTATTTAATGCAATAGGTTTTTCTTTTTACAAATCTAAATGAAGCCAAAGCAACAACTGAGGCAGAGTAATATGAATTTTTCCTAGTTTCTCATCAGCTGCTGACAACAATATATGTCTTAAAAAAGTAACATAGGATCATGATATAGTGGTTAACAATTGACATTGAAGACGAAAAAATTAAAATAACAAGAAACTATGTAAAAACACGTGTGAGGTCATTTGGAAATCGAATTCAGTACCATAGAGGGTGGGTGAAGCAGTAAATAAGTGAAGTCCAAAAACAGATAAGATAGATTGTGTGATAATTATAGTGGTTGTGTAGAGTTTACATAAGATCCAAATCACTTGAAAATAGATATAGAAGACTTGAAGAACTAAGACTGTAATTGTCTAGAATTAGAAACTGATAAGATGGGTTACGTAGCAATTAACAAGAATTTGAAGAGTTTACATAATTTTTGAGAATTAAGTGAATAAAAAATCGATGAATAAAATGATGATTTTGGTGTACATAAAATAAGAATTAGTTTGGCCAAGAACACATAATAAAATAAGCACTATTAAAGTACTGATAATAATAATGACAATAGTAATTTACCAAGGTTCGAGTTTCTTTATTGTTGCTGCTTCAGTAAACCGGAGACGCGGTGCTTTTTGTCCACTGATAATTATAGAGGATTGTGTACTGTCAGTGGTGTGCTCAGTATCAATCAAATGCCGAGCTATTGCACAATATGAAGCCATAGTGACTATCAGTCTCAAATTCCCTGAAACGTGATAGAAAGTGTGAACCTATACTATTTTCTTTGTTCTTCCGATGCATGCACTTTGAGAAGTACATGTATACTGTTAAATTCAGTTAGAAGTACTGAGAAAAGTGGACCTGTCAATCTTTGTATGTTTGAGTGAGCAGTTCATTTCATATAACTTCGTCGGTCCTGCCGATGGATAAGCAACGTTCATCGCAGCATCTATCCTAAGGTAAATCATTACAGTGGTTTCATCTCCTCAGAGGCCCAGATATAATAAGCAGGTTTTATTTTCCACTGTGTTGTATATAACACGTCCTTTGGTTTGTCACACTTCTCGATAAATTGTACACACATTTAAATCATAAAACCGTTGAGAAGTAAATTGTAGGGTTTAAAATCTGGTATTGAACTAGGAAAGAAATTAAAGTTTAGCCGCATCTAACCCGCATTTTTATCTGAGGGCGTCAATGATCCACGAAGATTATATAAATCCTGGAATTTCTTCATTTCCATCTATAATGAAAGATCACATTTGTCAAGGCTAGCTCAATTAAACAGTCATCCGTGTTTTACAAACACAAACTGAAAGCATTCCATATAAGTAATACATGGTGAATAGCTAAATATAAGGTCTTTCCTAGGTCGTACAAAACAACATTGGAGATTGTCTGTTGAATGTCTGAGTAAGAGGTTTCAAATATTCATGGTCATTTCAGGGTCATTCGGTTCCGTCATGAAGGTTTCCCGGTTCTTGATATCTACTTATCGTTATTCGTATTTATATTAAGCTGACACAAAAATTCATATAAGCTTTGTTAATTTTTATTTTTGGCGTCGTCATTTTTATATTTATTGCAGTTACCAAACATAATTAGATTATAACCTATGTCTATAGGCATAGTTTTTCTATTTTAATTTACCTATAGCTAAATTAAATTTGCTTCTAAAACATTCAGAATCAAAAAATTAGCTTCACATCTTTAACAATAATTTTAAAATAGGTTCAGAAGGTAGTTTTGTCAGTTTTGGTTTGTAGTTAGGGTTTTCATTACGAACTGATATCAAATACAGTAGAAGACACATTAGGCGTCTAAAGCAGTACGTACGTGGTTCATTTTTTTATCTGAAGAATGACGATGGGGTTCATCTACAACCAGCTGACGAACATCTATTGAGGTGTGACGCGTTCCTTGGTCCCACCCTGCCATTGTCCAACCGTGCTATAGTCTCACCATGGAACAGATGACACATTTAACGACAGTTCTTCGAAAATACCAGTTAACTTAGAATCCGTGATGAAGGGAATCTGCTTTCAGCTCAGCTTTTACTTATTATCCGAGATTCTTTATCTTATATGTGATTGATTCGCCCATAAATTATTGTCTCGTCGTATTTTTTATTTTACTCCATACTGATCATTCAACATATGGGGCCAAGCCCAAAGCGTAGTTTTGTACACATTACTCGAGTTCTATATTAGTTGGTTTTTGATAGGAAGATGGTTAGAATAGTCTGTTAATCATGCGTAATGAAGCTTGTTTAACAGGTTTAATCTTCATCAGTGTAAGGTTTGTAGAGATATTTTTCTGGTCAAGATTTAAGACCCCACCGCTGAACGAACTCATGACCTCCAGGTTTTGTGGTGAGCACTTAACCTCTATCTATGTTTAACTCCATTCGATTCGTTATGTAACACAACTACTCAATCTTTAGTGGTCAACTGCCTCACACCAGACATTTTGACTCCATTAGTCTTAACTTCTAACCAGGACTCCATGATATGCCTTTTAAAATAAATCGCTAGTAGGGGCATAATAATTGCCAGTAATTGGTTTTGGGAAAGTTCTTGAATTTTATCGAGATCACTTTATTTCCAACACGATTTTAGTCGGGAATTTATACTATTTTTTTTAACTGATGATAATTAATTTCCCATGAACGTCCGTGCAGACTTTATCTCAGTTTAGTTGCAAAATTCTTTGGCTGGATGCTAATGACTGACTTAAACCTCGATATTCAACTTGAATACCATATAATTATCAACGGTCATGCTAATTTACAATGGTTAAATAAATCTTTGAAGTTGAGAGCATGAATGTAACAACAACCCACTTTCATAAATCATCAGTTATCTGCCTGTATTTGATGAAAATTCCTCCAGACTTCATATTCGTAATCGGAAATTTCATCCGTTTAATATGTCCAAAAGTAAAGAGTGCAAGACAAATCATTTCAGATAATTCTTGTTTCAAAACAAATGTATTATCATTCTCGCTGGGAATGTCAAATATGTGTTACCGTCCAAATTCCAAAGTTTATAAAAGCTATCCAAGTAATCGTGTCAGTGATGGGTCTCTTTCGATGCATTTCATCAATACTCTGTTTTGTCTTTCATGAATTTTACTATACTTTCTCTTAAAATTACCAAGATATTAGAACTCATTCATGCTATTTGTTATTTATAGTTTGGAATAGGTCTTCCCATTTATTTTTTTTCTGTACCTTTTAATTCTTAATACTTTTAGTTTCGTATACGCCGCTTAGCTATAAAGCTATTTATCAACAAAGTCATCGCTGCTACATCCATGTACTCGTTTGTTCAAAGTGTGCTAAAGTTCACTAAATATTCATTAAAAAACCGGCTTATGTGCTTTAGTTCTATACAGCAAACAATTTTAAAGGGTACACTTATCATCTTGTGTAATGTACAACGATTGATACATCTGACAACTACCACACACATGAAAGGATTCGAAAATACTATAAAACTTAAAGTGTGATGAATGGCTCCAAGTAGTCATTCACTGTTTAATATGCTTCTTGTTTCTTGTGGAGGTTTTATATGTAGAATTGTGTTAAATTTGAATTTTTTTATCTGGTAGAACTAACATGTCTACATGCAACAGTAATATTTTCCAAAATTTTAGTCTATCTTAAGCATTCCATCAATGATTGGATTTTGTACAAGTATCGGGAAGATTTCAACTGGAATACGGACGTTTACAAAGGTAATAGCTGCATTTTTAGATAAATTTGCAACCAGGCAAGTTTTCTTTTTGCTCCGATCCGTAACAAAAGTATGCATCTCGAACTCTAAGTAAACCCATTCATTTCAGTCTATATTGAAGTTTATGGGTGTCAAATGAACCATAGTGATACCAATATTGCTCAGAGTTTATTAACAAAAGCTGGGTATACTATTGTCCCGTCGGATGAACAGGTTGGTTCTTTTCTTCAAATATAATCCTACAGTGTGACACTGTCTTGCTCATGACTTGTGCCATTCGAGATAGTGCTGAAGTAAAAATTTGGCGACGTATTCAACACCTGCGATCTCTTCACCGTAAATCATATATAAAAATAGGTGTTCTAGGTAAGTATCTTGTTTTAGACATAATCTTAGATTCAATGGTGCGTATGCTATAGGGTCCCTTTATAAGCTACTATAATCAAATATCCATTCGTAGGCCTTTTATAAAAGATCACAGTGGTCTCTGTATAATTGATGGAATGTTCCTGACTTCTGAAACACAACTTCTAAGATTACTCAATGACAAATTACAGCTTCATGAATACTCGGTTTTTGGTCTTGCCCTTTTTATGAGGACTGGTGACACTACCTGGTCAAACTGATGTAGAGCGGGGTTTAACTTCGTTATATGAATAACTGAAAGTCGTGTGTACTAATAAGCCTTTGAAAACACGACCTTTTTCTCCTATAACAAATTTATCATTTAGGTTTTCTAGTAATATAGTGTAGCATGCTTCCTGTATTTTCAAGGTATAATAAAGATAGAAAAACTAGAAACACATGATTAAGATAGTAAAATGTACATGTCTGTAAAAACTGAAAGCTTGGGTATCATTGGATGGCAACCTAGCATTAGAGCTGCTTCGAAATGACAGGCAGGGACTTACTGGTTTTGTGATTAAACACAACATTCTCAATGTTCTCAGCTCTATTCTTGTAAAGCTGATATTTTCGTTTTAATAACTAATGTTTTACTAAGTGTTGGAGGATAGTAAAACAAGTTCATTACATTTGCCAATCGTGATTGAGAATAACAATAACCAAAACCCTGCATAAACTTTGATAAACTGGTTTGTGGAATTATGTCTATGGAGCTAAAACACTATAAGGTTCTCACTAGTCATTTACTACATAAGTTTTTTCACAATTGGGCAGCGACAAAATTGTACTACATAAACGAAATAATATTGTACCAAAGAAGAGAAAAGTATTTCAGTCAATAAACAAACAAGTACAGTATTTAATAAGACATACAGTTCAATAAAAACTAGGGCTTCATATCACGAACTGACCACCTCTCCACTTTTCCCCCATTCCTAGTGTTGGCAAACAATGCACTACATACAGGCTTCTGCTGTGACATCTAGAATATGTTTAAGCCACCCTTCAACAGACGATACTAATGAACAGTCATATCCAAAATATCGAAGTCGTCTCGGATGTCAATAAATTTAACGACTATTGGTTTGTAATAAGTGTGACAGTGTTCAAGTATTCGACAGAGAATAGAGATGGGGTAAAAGTCATACTATTAAATTACGTTTCCGGAGTCCTCTTTTGTGATGCCATCGCGCTGCCAAGCTTTTATAGCCTATATCAATCAGTCAGTCAGCAGCAAGATAGAACTTCGTACGTACGTACGTACATCAGTTCAAGTTGCCATACCGTATTAGCACAGCGAAACAATTGTCGATTCAAATCCCATAGTGGTAGAGGTAGTAAGAGTATAAGCAGTAATCGGAAAGATTAGGGTTTGAAGACGTTATTCAAGGAATATAATCCAGTGAGATAAATTTGGAAAGAGAAAAAAAGGGGACATGAAGAATTCAGAAGATTAGAATTTGGGAGAACACAAAGAGTGGATGCATCTGCGCCATTGCAAACGATTTTGAGCCATGTCATTCAAGGTCTCTAACCATCAGTTGCTATCGTCTCGCGGATCCGAACCAGATAGTCTACACTTATCAACATGGCTCAGTCCACTTGTCAGTGACTTCATGGATTTGTGCCATGTTTTGGTCTGGCCGCCCTAGCTTTCTTCCAACCTACTCCTACACCATAAAACATCGCTCGCGGTAGTCAGTGGTTGGGCATACACATGTCCCAGCCATCTCAACTGATGAAGTTCCACTACCTCATTCATTGATTTGCTATTCTTACCTAGTACCCGTTTCCTAACAACTGCGTTACTTAATCGATGGTCCCATGATATACGAGCAATGCTTCGAAGACACCTATGACCGAATACTAGTAAACTACGAATATTCTCTACTTTTACCGGCCATGTTTTACAGCCATAAAGTAGGAGAGAATGAACTGCTGCGCAGTGAACGCGTCCTTTGGTTGGTAACTTATAGCAAGAAAACCTCACTGACTGCCTTCAGATGGTGGGGCCGTTTTTAAAAAATCAAAGGGCAAAAGGCAAGTGTTTGGCGCTCAAAATGTGTTAGTGGATAAAATGGTTTCACCAAGGGGAGTTGCACAACCGTGACTGTACAGAAATTTCGAAATATAGTCTTTTTAGAAGCATCACAACTAGACATCTGAAAACAACGTTTACAGTATCAAAAAAGTGTAGTAAACAAATCCAAAAAATCTTTACCACAATTGGATATCACTTCAAGCCCTTATAATATACCATGTGACCGTTAGATGATATTAACAAAATGTGATCTTCAGTACTAAGCACAACAATAATAATAGTAACCAAGTTCGACAATATGTTAATGATATTTTACTTAATAAAATTTCAGGATGTATGGCCAAAAGGTTAAAGGATAAACTCCTTATGGATGACAGCTGTAAAACTTTAAAAGCGGGTGATCTTCAGTCATCTAATTTTGATCACGATAATTACACTGTTGCGGCAGATTTTGTTTGCGGCCCTGATTCTTATCGTGATTTGCCGAAACTTATTGAAGATGCTCATTCTGGACTAAAAGGTGCTAGCGTCTCATTGTCTCTGGAAGAGACATATGCAGATGTAACTCCTGTACGACGTCATTTTACAACCGACGAATCCTCAGACCCAATCCTTGCTCCTACGGCTTTCCTATCAGTTATGCGTGGGTGTGATAATATGTGCACCTATTGTATTGTACCTTTTGTCAGAGGACGTGAACGCAGTAGACCATTGGATTCAATCCTTCACGAAGCACAAAGCTTATTTAATGAGGTATATTCACACATGTTTCTTGCTTTATAATAACTAGAAGTCTATTATTCATAGGGGCAAGATTTCATGTTTACGGACATTGTAGTTCCATCATTTCGTTTTCTTAGAAGTGAGATTTTATTACCGTTATCAAGGGTTATTTGTGTGAACAAAATCGTATTTATATTTTTCCCCCGTATATTGTATTATCTTACTTTGGTCGGATTGTTTGGTATACTTGTAGAAACTAGCTTTGATGAATTTATGCTAATGAACAAGTACTGTAACATCGGTTTACTTATATTTAGATCAGTTCAACAACACTTACTCATACTCTCTGCTAGAGTCTACAAATAATTAATTAGAAATTTATTTGAAAAATGTTAAATCTTTGTGCAAGGTAGATTGTCCTTTTTTCAAAATTTTCGAATTTCCCAATTTATAACCTACCATTTTTCCATCACTGATAAAAGTACAATTTAGTCGCTGCTGTACATACAGAGTTCCATCTTATTGCATTACAATGTTAGTTTTTATCATCGAATGATAGTAGCTGAGATACTTAAAGATATCAGAACTCATTTTAAAACTGTTTCGTTATAGCTTAAGACTTATCAACAATACACACCCGTCCAGTGACCTTGCACAACGGCCATATTATTTTTAGACCATTGAGTTGACATCTAGTGGTGCTTACACTTGTAACTTTAACTAATTTGTAAATTCAAACAACACTGCCCGGTTTTATTGGTGAATGACAACGAACTCATTAAAAACCTCAAACGTCGATGTTCCGGTGAACAAAAACACTCCAAAAATAAATTCCACAAATTGGGCGAAACTGAATCTTCGGAAAATTTAATTACACTTTTCCCGTCCGATTTTGCCACCTAGTCTGAGACCTCTTTACAAACCATGTTTATCTACTGCATAACTAAAAGATGAAGATTTGCAGTTGGCACAAACAAAATAATATATATATATATATATATATATATATATAATTATGTTAAGATCTAAACTGTGTGTTAATTCGGCTACACAATCCTTGTTTTGCTTTACTCGTCTTGAAACATTTGTCGATCATAGGGTTTTCTCTAAGGACATACAGTCAGTATTTGACTGATTGGTGATTCGTGTGATATATTGTCTCAATTAATTGATTCTGTAACAAGTAATACAACTATCAATATGAACTCATAAAGTGTATTTCGTCTTAGGACTATGAAATTGGAAAAAGACCATTATGTGGTACATTGAGAAATGGAGTTAGTTCCTAAATGTTTATCGTAGTATTCATCTAAGAGACGATCAGAATTGTGTAGCTTCTGTTGTGATTTTTTGCAGACTATCAAGTTTCTATTAACAATATTTTTAACGCTAGTGTAAAACGTACTTATCAACAATTGAGATCTGTCCTTGTGGCTGAGTACCCGTATAAAGGTCTATACATTATGATGTGAATCGCTGATTCAGTATTTTGCTCAATTCTCACGGAACCCTTCCTAAATAATTAGAGCCCAGTTTACATTAATAAATCTGTTTACCGTAACAATGCACTTTTAGTAAGTTGTGTTTGAAATCAGTTTTGCAGTGGTTGAAATTCATTCACTCTAACTTCTAGATTGTAAAACAGTATGAAATATAATTGTTTCAGGAAAATCATAACTTACACTTAAAATAAAAAGTTATAACTCACTAAACTTCTAAAAATAGGTCGCGTTTTGGGGTCCCTGTTTGCTTTACTACTATCATGATTTTTCGCTTGATCTAGTATGAGTTTATACCCCCACCAACTTCCAGTCATTCATTCAAAATTCATCAGTATTAAATATATTGCCCTCAATTATTCTACGGCATCATCGACACTTCCAATTATTGTTTTGTTTTGCCTTTTCCTTCATTCATTTAAATAAAAGGGAGTAAAAGAAATTACTTTGCTTGGGCAAAATGTTAATAGTTATTGTGATAATTCGAATACAGACTTATCAATCAACTCGTCTAAAACGATTTCAACACTTGTCCCTGGATTTAAAACTGTTTATAAACCAAAAGTTGGTGGTTTAAGATTTTTCGATTTATTAGACCAAGTAAGTCAGATTAGTCCAGAACTTCGTATTCGATTCACATCACCACATCCAAAAGATTTCCCAAAAGAGGTTAGTTAGTTATTTTTCTAATTTTTCATATTTACGTTACATTAAAAATATGTTTCAAAAACAACTAGAGAGGGAGTTAGTCGGTCGTGAAAATGACATAGTATGATATCCAAAAGGCTGTGGAAACGGTAGTGATATCTATTAGTAACTTAAACTAAACGGTTAGGAAAAATCGGTGGATTTCGGCAGCGTTTAGAGGACTGATAGGTGCACGGAAACTCGTCCTGCCCGGCTCTGAACACGATGAGGAGCGGAGGCAGCTTAAAAGTAGGTTGATCAAAAGCCTCCGTAATGATCGTGAGCAGTGGTAGTTAGCGAAACCAGAAGTCGTAAAAATCAGCTGCAATGGGTAACGGTAGACAGCTGTTTAGATTTATCAGGGAAACGAGTATTAAAAATCCGATTGTTAATGAAACTATCTCAAAAAAGGCGGGACTATTATTCACTCTAAATCTAGGAGAATAAGCCGGTCGGCAGAACACTTTAGGGAACAACCTAACTGACCTTCAGCCACACTTCAGTTACCCACTATCTCTAAGCAAACTGATGAAAATCCTCGAACTGTTAGAATGTCTGAGAAGGCTATAAACAATTTAGAGCGAAGGAGAGCAGCAGAGCATAATGGACTGACTTTTGAGATTTTCAATAATGGTGATTCCGTTTTAGCAGTTAGATTAACTGAAATTTTAGCGAAAATCTGGAAACTGGACGTAATCTCATCTGACTAGTCTCGACCGCTGATCGTTCCAGTTTATAACAAATAACAAAAATCCCATTGTGATAACCACAAAGGAATCAGTCTTACTGATAGTGTCTAAAATATTAGCCTCAATAAAACCTCGGCTTCTAACTAGAGCTCGTGAAGAGCGAACCCGAGATAACTAGGCTGGTCTCAGACCCGGACGTGGATGTGTAGAACAAATATTCACCCTTTGGCAGATCCTGGAACATAAACATACTCTTCGACGTCCTGCTATAATATTATTCCTTTGTGGCAACTTGGTTTTGTTTATTAGTCACCCTGATAACCGTTATTAAATAAATTTCAAAGGTGTAAGGATTCAGAAGGCAATACAAAGCGCCAGGTACAGTTTATATTGGACAGCGCGGATAACAAGCACGTCAAGCGAATTTGAGCAAAGAGGCTACTTCGCACGTAGCAGGCGAATAAAGAGGTAGATTCTGAATCAAATCGAATCGAGGCGAAGCGATAAATAAGATGCAAGCATATATATGTCACCATGTGCCATCAGTGTTAGTGATTTGAGTTCACAAAATGTCATTCATGGTCTCTTGAAACCATTCTCTAAACTACATATTATAGCATTCAATATTCGAACCTTGTGTCAGTTAAGACTCTACGATCTCGCGTCATTGATGTATACTGAGTCCCCAAAACGCTTATGCGGGGTTCAAGTACGGTTATTCTGGTGGAGTTTTGTTCTCTGAGCTGGATGGTTTGGCCGTGGAGCTTTCATCGTTCTTCTGAACGACATCATCAGCACAAACTTCAGATAGAAGTGAAGTGTTCGAATTTCTCCATATGTGTTTCATAGCTTGTTCTGTATACCTCGATGTTGATTGGTTCTTATTGACCTTAAATTTGTGATTGTTTACTTCTTGTTTTGGTTGTCTCCCATTGGTTTGATTTTTGTTCCTATATTTGTGCATGATTTTCCTGATTGGTTGATAAATTGGATTGATTTCAATATGCTTGTTGATTCCTGATTGATTTGAGTGCCAGGCTTCTAAAAATTCTCTGGTGTTTTTGGGATTTCCTCTGTCCAAGATTTCCACTTTTTTCCAATCGAATGAGTGTCCGAAGTTGTCCACGTGTATTGGTATAAGTGAGGAAATATGGCGTTTGACTGCTAATTGATGTTCATGTAGGCGAAGGTGAAAGGGGCGTCCGCTTTGTCCGATGTAGTGTTTTTCGCAGTTGGCACAATTTATTTTGTAGATGATGTTTGATTTGTTTTCCTTTGTTATTTCATCCTTTGGTTTGCATAGGATTGTTTTAAGTGATTTTGTCGGTTTGTGTGCCACACCTATCCCGAAGGTTTTCAGCAGTCTCGTTGCGGTTTCTGATATATCTTTTGTGTATGGTAGGGCGATCCTTTTGTTGATTTCTGTGCTTGACTTGGGTTCTGATGCTACATGCGGTTGGTATTTTTTGATGAGGTTGATTGGGTAGCCGTTCTTTTGAAATACGTCCTTCAGGTATTTCTCTTTTTTTCGTGCTGTCAGTGTGCTGCAGTGTGTACCTGCCCTCTTTAACAAAGTGTGTACGCAGTTGGTTTTGTGAGCTCTTGGGTTGTTGCCATTGTAGTTGAGAATTTGATCTGTATGAGTCAGTTTCCTATACACTTGAGTTCCCAGTTTTCCTGTGTCGGTTCTAGTGATTAATATATCCAAGAATGATAGTTTGTTGTCTGACTCCTGTTCCATTGTGAACTTGACGTAATCGAAGACGTTGTTGATCAGCTTGTAAGTGTTTTCTAGCTCATTCTTTTTGACGATGACGAATGTGTAGTCTACATAGCGAATCCAAATTTTTGGCTTGATCACTGGTAATATCGCGGCTTCTAGTCTTTGCATCACTGCTTCTGCGATCAGTCCTGATATTGGTGATCCCATTGGCGTCCCTTTCGTTTGTTCGTAGATTTTGTTGTTGAATTGAAAATTTGTTAGGCACAAATCGATGAGTTCTAGTAGACTTTGAATTTGAAGCTCCGTGTACTTAGTGAGATTTGTGTCGTTGGTGAGGAGCAGGGATATAGTTTCTTTTGTTAACCTTGGTTCAATTGAGGTGAATAACTTTGTTACATCGAAGGATATCATCAGTTCGTCGTTGATTTGGATGTCCTTAATTTGGTCCAGGAAATGTTTAGGGGATTTGATGAAGTGGTTGGATGAATCTACTGATTGTTTCAGTATTCGCGAAATTTCTTTTGACAAATTGTATGTTGGCGTTCCGGGAAGTGCTGCAATTGAACGTAATGGAATGTTTGGTTTGTGTATTTTTGGTCTGCCGTGGAATAGAGGGAGTACCGATCCATTGGATTTCATTCTCCATTGGTCTTGTTTTGTTATTTCTCCTGCTTTGACTAGCTTGTTTAGAGTCTTTGAGATTCGGTTGTCTAATTTTTTGACGGGATTTATATTCATCAGTTTGTATGTGCTCTTATCTTTAAGTGGTTTCTCAGCTTTTTTGACGTATCCTTCTTTGTCCATAATTACTGTGTTGCGTCTCTTTTCCGCTGGAACTATGACAATATCCTTTCTAGTTCTAAGTTCCTTCAAAGCTTTTTGTTCTTGTGGGGTCAATTGGTTATTTCCCTTCACCTGTTGAGTTAGCGGTACTATAGTTTGCCTTATTTCTTGTTGTTGCTTCACTGATTCCGGAAGTTTTTAGTGATGACCCTAGGGCTGCGAAGAATTTCAGTTTTGAGGCGTCGCTTGTATTGTAGTTTAATCCCTTTCGGAGTAGGTGTTCTTCCGTATTTGTTAGTGGTTGTTTTGACAGATTGATCACGCAGTTGTTTGTGTTTCTTCCATGGGTGGTTTTGAGATCTTGATTAGTTTATCCTTTAAGGTGTTTCTTCTTTGTTTTCTGTGTCGTTTGCATGATATCTCGATGGTTGTTGTCAAGATTTCCAAATGTTCTGACGTGAGTGTCCTTTGTATCTTCACGTTTTGGTCCTCTATGACGTGTTGGTATTTGCGGATCTTGTAGTGTGCATCCGTTATCATTAAGTGTACGGTTATTCATTTGACCTTACGCTGTCAGTAAAAAGGACTCGCAAGAATCATTCTTCGAGTATCTAGAGACCCCATCGCTATTTCCCGTGATTTCGCTCGTGTAGGTATAGCATTGAGTTCCAAGACAGAACAGGCTATCGTAGGAAACTAATCAACCTCCTTCAAAAAGCTAAACGCTGTGACGTAGTAAATGTGTCAGGTAATTTTGATGCTCAAGTAGATGAACTAAACCAAACTGACAGGCTCTTAGGTTGTTACAGCTCAGCGAACATATAATGGCGACCGTCTATTTCAATTATCCTCAGGTCACCGGTTTCTAGCAGATATCAAATTTAAATATATGGCGAAACATCGTCTGACCTCGCGACACTCACAATCGACTTATATATGAACTCAAATAGATCACATTGCCAATAGCTATAGTTGGGGTGGCTCGATTGAAGTGTCTCTCACTCTGGAGCACATATTTAGACTCTGATCACGCTCTAGGTCGAGCAGGTATTTGTCTGCATCTTACTGGAAGTAGAACAGTTGGTCATTTGTATTTGAGTTTATGAATCGGGATACCATATTAGTTGTTTAAAAAATGTTTTGTTGGTCAATGAGTTATTACTTGTCACAATGTTATCCGGCTTTCAACTCTTATCAAACTGAAATGAAATTTTTGATTTAATTTTCTTCATTGTAATGATCATTGATATTTGCATCTAGGTTCTTGAACTAATTTCTGAACGTAAAAATATTTGTTCAAATATACATTTACCAGCTCAATCAGGCAGTAGTGTTGTTCTAGAAAACATGAGAAGGGGTTATACTAGACAAGCCTACATAGAGTTAGTGAACACTATTCACGAAATAGTTCCAAGTTAGTATCTCTTATTTAGTTCATTTATAAATTTAAATTACTGTAATTATGAGTTTTTTATCGTCCAGTTTAAGTTAGTAAGTTGGCATACCAAGAAAAACTATATTATGCACTTACGATTAATTCCATTTAGATCTTTTAATACCATCGAGCTAATAAAATAAATGTCACTTACTAGATTGGAGAAACTGATTAAAAGAGATTTGAAATCATTTATTCAAGAAAGTACTAGTCAGAATACAACTAGTTTTCTTAACAAACAAGTTGCCTTAGAGCATTCAAATCTATTTAGGGACTAAAACTAGTGTGGCATTGTTACAAGAGTGTGAAAGCGACAACGTACGCTTAAAATCCCTTAAATAAAATGGATTAGACTTCTCAAACGTACAATTTTTGATGAAAATAAATAAATGCTAACAATCCACAAACCTCGAATAGTTAAGTATACAGGAGCCAGTTATTCTACTGAAAACTACAAGATCGCATTCGTTACTTTAAATCAGTAAGTAAACTTGCGGAAAATCCTATAAGTCAGAAAACAACACAAATCCGTATGAAGCAGGAACATTAACAAATAGCTCATTATACTTGTTATTAAGTAGCGTTCTGTGAAACAGAAAAGGAGAAGCAAAAGGGAAACAGTTTATGAATATCGAACAGTTTTAATAAAGATTATCAGTGGTGATAATCAAGATTGCTGTCTGCAAATCCCATGCATTACATTTTAGACAGTCTTACTTTAGTGAAATAACATATGCGTTGTCTCCTTCTTGATTGATCTACAAGCCCTCTGAGTCTTTATGCAATTTGCTCCCCCTAAATTAGTTTTCTGATGGGCCTTGTCCATCCCAAGTATCAATTAGGTTTTCTAATATTGCAGTGAAGAGCTTCACTCTATGAATACATGTACACACCCAAGCACCGTATTTATTTCCTTGTCATAATCTAGTTAAATTCTGAGTAGCCGCTGAATGTTCTGGAAATGTGCTAGTTTTATGTGTTTGTATGAATTGTCTTCGAATACTCATACCATTGTTATCTTTCATCCAGATGTTAGCCTTACAAGTGATTTTATCGCAGGATTTTGTGGTGAAACCGAAGAAGATCACTCTCAATCTCTTGAGCTCATTGAACGTGTTGGTTATTCATTTTGTTTCTGTTTTCCGTACAGTATGCGTGAGGTATGCATCATTTATATTGCTTTTAAAATTCCTTTTTTATTTCTTTAGTGTTGATTAACCACTAGCTCTCTCTGCAATGAACCAGTCGATAAACGTCGAATAGAGTCTAATGTATCAAATACTCGACCATATGCCAATAGCTTACTATGTGAAGGGTAATAATACTATCTAGCTGCACTAATGGAAATCAATACAGTAGTATAGGTTCAGTTATTTTATTTAGTTTTTTTTTAAGAACACTAAGGTGGAATAAGGACTTTTGGTATATTCTTTAACTCACACTCTGTTTGAATGCAAAAGCTCCTTCTACATGTCTATTCACATGAGAACATCTAAAAGTCATCGATAATTCATCATACTTTAAACACTATAAACCAACTCGACATTATCACATCACCACATTAAGTTTACTGTAGTAAGATTCATGCAAATTGGTCATTAGGCCTATTCATCCAATCATTTCAAAGCCGATCAATACTTTGTTTGGTGATACTCTTGTTTACAAGTAAAGGTCTGTTTGTTAAGACTGTGAACGTTAAGAGACTAGTGTCGGTAATATGTTGCGCATGTTAAACCACCCGACACCCCATTAGTAACTAGAATAGAAGCGGATTAAAAGAAATTTAAGGGGTGACCGAACTAGGACCTACTGCCAATCTGTAAACCCATTAAATGTTGATCAGTCTTGTTGAGAAGTACAAATTGTCTGCTTCAGGACCATGCAGCAACCGTCAAAAATTGTTGGAGACACTAAGTGATATAGCTAGAAATGGATTGTAATTCCACAGATACATCCATTCTTTGCTTTGTTTTAATATTCCACACTTTTTTATTCCTTGAATTCATCTGTTCGTTTAAAAAAATATCTACCCGTGTTTAATTTTCACTATTGTTGACTCGTTCTCTCTCGCTGGATGCTCCTTAGGATTATGGCGATTCAGACCAATGGACATTTATGACGAATAGGTTTAAATGGCTGGAACTAAATTAAAGGGCATTATAATTCATTTCATACGATTCTGCATATCGTCCAGTATTCTAATGCTTGAAAGTAAGATCCATTTCACCACAATATGTTCATTCAAACTGTCAATATAAACAAATAAGTGTTTCTTGCTCGTTTCCTTGTACTTCCCCTAATTTCATTATGTGTTGTATTTTGACTTCACTTTAGAAAACTTTTGCATATCATCATTTAACTGATGATGTACCAATTGAAGTGAAAAAACGACGACATGAAGAGTTATCAATGATATCTCGAAATAAAAGTTTAGAGTTTAATCAAAAACAAATTGGCTCTATTCAAATTGTTTTAGTTGAAGGAGTAAGTTAACTAAAAAATGACACAATGACTAATTCGCGCCAAAGTGTTCATTCAGAAAAATTATTATTTGAAAAGGAAAAAGTATTTTGATCATCCCAAGATAAAACTTTTAAGTCAGCGCTAAATGTCAATTTCATTATTGAGTGAATAGTTCTTGTTATGATGAAGCTACTGCTCGTTACCGAATAATTGGTGATCCTTGAAGCCTCTTTGGACTTATCGATTGAGTATTTATCAATACCCTCCCTTAAAAAATTCCACCTTATCAGGTATCGAGTGATTGAACTAAATCTTCTTGAGGCTAAAAAAAATACTCACATGACATATTTCTTAAACTTGGACTTTAGATTATCTTCATATTTTCAAATCCGATCGCCAGTATTGGTAAAACAAACATTTTTGACTTATCATTTCAACACGTCTTATGAAACATCGTACTTGTAAAAATCTTCTGATAGAATGGGATTACCTAGTTGTTTTTATTTAATTAAATACAGTTGTTCAAGACTATGAATTTTTAGAAAGAAAGAATTCATATCTTGATATATCCCTATAATATGAACGAGACTGAAAAGGCATCGCTACTCTTACATGTCTTTATTTTGTTATTCTGAATAATATCCCTAGCCAATCTGTATCAAATGTTATAGCGTTGCATTTTCAAATACTCCAATATATGACTTCGTAAAAATTTTCTATTAAAAACGCGGGAGGATATCTGGAATTTATAACTGATTACATATGCTAATTATGAATGAACTAAACACTGTAAATCATATCACTTATCAGATTTTTATTTACGGTTAATATGTTCGACAAGACCCTTTTAGTACGACAACGGATTTGATGTGATTGGATAAATCAAATAACAAACACTCAATTATGCATCAAGATTTGCTCAACTGCACACAATAAGAAAAAAGATTGAAGGAAACCTTTTTATCTCAAGAAAAACTAATCATTCGAATAAATACCAATGTATATAACATTTACATGATCTTCAATAAACTATGTAAAAGTGATATATTAAAATAAAGTTTAATACGAATAACCAATAATAAAAGAGGTCAATTATCATTGATTATAAACGGTATTAAATAAGTTTGAAATGCTAATAGCATTATTTTTCGAAGCAACCCCGACAAGACCTTGATCCATTAAGCTTTACTAAAACGTACTTATTTTACTAGCCATTGAGTAGCACTACTATTTGTCTTTAAGCTCGGTTTAGGAATACATCACAAATGAATCTATAAATGTTGCTTCGAAACTATTATTAGCGCACTTCAGTAATTATTCCGTGCAATAGAGACAAATGTCACTGACTGTTGCATCTTTTTGCAACTATCTTAGTGTTAATTGTACAAATATAAAGAATTTTCAAAGTTCCTTAAATTAAAATATTACGCTTTATTAATTTTAGCCTAGTCGTCGTTCACCAACGCAAGTGTTTGGACGTAATGATTATAATACGAAGGTAATTTTCGACCAAGATGTTACACAAATACCAACTACCAAAAATCAAGATTCTTCGCGTATATCCTTCAAGCCTGGTGATTATGTGGTTGTTGAGGTTTGTAAATATTTCTATTCCATTATATTTTAGTAGTGATGGTATTGGGAAGATAGATCACAGTCAATATAGCTTCAAACTATAGAGCGATTTTAAAACTAGATACAGAGCTCATTCGAAGGGATTCAGTGATAAACAAAAGTTTCAGTCAGTCGGCTACAACGCACCATGCATAAGCATCGGTCCAGCACAAGATGAACTCCAAATTCTTAGCAGTTACTTCAACCGTAGTAAAAAATAAAATTCTAGTGAGCATTGCGCGTTGTGGTAATCGATTTTCAGTTATTGGTAACTCGTGGCCCAACCTTCTCAGTCGATGAAAATTCACAACCTCACCAACTGATTTACCATCATTCCCTAATACTTTGCACCCAAGCTCACTATTTCTTATCCGGTGATCCCAGCAGATGCTGGTGATATTTATAAGACATCTCTGATCAAATATTAGTTAGAAAAGTTGATAAACCAGTTTAGCGTCAAGTTCAATATAAAAAGTGTGTCTATATTTTCTTCACATTAATTCTAACGCATAATAAAACATCTTCAACATCAACAAACTACACCCTGCCAACGATACTGGAGCATGTCTAGTGACTTGTTTGATGGATCAGTGATATGGACGGTGTAAAACGAATTGGATGGTTCGAATTTTATATGTACAGACTTCCCCAAAATAAAACTAGTAGTAAGAACAGTCAGTGCCAAAACAACGAGAGACTAGTGTGGAGAGAGTCAAATTAAATACTAGTGAATATCCTTCTTTGTTCTTGCCTCCCCTCTTTTTTAAACTTTTCCATGTTTCGTTTCGTATCTGTTTGTTTATTATTACAAAAAAGAACGAATTCGTCCACTTGATTTTTAAAAGTAGAACTCCCACTCACTGTAAATTTAGGCAATCTCAAAATATCCATACAAAGAACCAGATAATATGGACTGTATATTAGGGACACACAGATTTTTATAAACCTGCATAAGTGGTAGTAATTTATCTAGTTTCTTATACTGTTCTTTTCAGATTATTGGTGCAACGTCTCAGACATTACAAGGAAAGGCTCTTGGCTTGTCTACACTTGGAGATTTTTGTGAAACAAAGTGGCATAGTGTGAATACAGCTAAAATAATATAAATCGTTCTTATTGATCAGAATTTTACCTTGGGGTGGGTTCTAGCATCGCATTTATCTCCTCACCTTTACTGTTATCCCAGGTGAATATCGTTTACTATCTATCCGTGAATTTAATAGCTAATCAAGAACTATCACTATAATGTTATATTGCCATTATTGGCTCGTACCCTGATGTGGTTCCTAGGTTTTATATACAGGTAATTCGGCCGAGCTGTATCAGCTGAAATATTTTTTTTATTTGTAGCCAAATTTACTTAGCAGGCCAGCTAGAGAGCAGATGAAACGAAATTAACCCTAGGCTGGAAGGTAACTAACATAACAGGCTCCCAATGAAAATATGGGGTTATAAGAGGCCTATCTTAAGAACGACATACATCTTGTCCGCGAATACCTGGTAACTATAAAATTTTGGATATACGTTGTATCTCTAAGCCCCACCCAGTATCCAAACGAAAATGTTCGTAGCGCATCACAGAGTGCTCTGGGGACAAAACTAGCGTCTGTAATTTGAATCTAAACTGAATTAACGTATCTGTGGTCGTAAACAGAGTCGAGTAATATGAAAAGTGAACGTAGCAGTTGGTCAGACGAGATAGTTCTTCACAAAGTTGTGGATGCCCATTGACTTAAGTGGTTGAAAGATGTCATTTATTTACTTTAACACATAAATATTCGTGCAAGGTTTAGTGGTTCTTGACAAAATATATCGTAACCTAAAAACAAGTGGATCTCGTAAAATAGTACGTTAAGTGGGAAATACCGTCCGAAGTAATGAAAATAAAGTTCAACCATTGAATGTTTGCTAGGACACTCATCCCATACATAGATACTCGTCGAAAAAAAACAAGCATTAGTTTACAAGCTTTCGTCTATTATATACTTGATGGTTACTCCCATTTAATACAATCGGTAACCGTGTCTTCGTCTAGCCGTCTTTTCATAATTCGGATTCCTGATTTCGCCGAATTCGCAATTAGCTGCATTTGGCAATGAACACGGTGGCACCCATCCATCGTCTTTAAGGGCAGCGAAACACTTGATGATATCTGAGTCTTTACGCGCCATTTTCTAGAATATAAACTGATGATTTGAAAACTTGACATCACTTACTCTTATCTGGTTAAGTGAATCATGTGGCGCATTGAAATTAATGAGGAAGTAGTGCCCTTCATATTGCCTTTCTCCTTGAACATGAAATACATTGGGAAGGCGTCGCAAGCCAAGATTCTCGACGTTGAATAGATGAGCACCATTATCGAGCATACCTTTGAGATGCCTTTTGAGAGCATCTTTTATACCAGGAGTGTCAAGAGCTTTAATTATTAGAGACATTTCATACCGTATCACGTTTGACATCTGGAAAACAATATACATCCTATGTTTACTGAAAGAAAATAATGAAATAGTTGATATTAAGTCTCATCCATATTCAGATGTTTGTGACCGAGGGGCATTTATTAACAGTAATATTAAGTAATGCTGCCCACCACTATAGCAAATATATATTTGTATTCATTAGTATAGCTGATAGCATGTTACTATATCTTCTCAGGCGAACCAATTGATGAGTATGTGGACCACCATCAAGCACCCTATAGATGACGAGGATAGGATTTAGTTATACAATGAATTAAGATAAGGAAAGTGACACAACTAGAAATGATAGATAGTTTTAATATGAATAATGAATGTACGTATGAATTACTCGGGTTCAGAACTAAAATGGGCAGCTCCATCAGTCGGTTGGAATCGCCATCAGAGTAAAGTCCCGGACGAGATGCGTGCATGCTCTCAGCTCAATTAGGTTTATCTAACTGCAACTGCCAAATCAATGGTATTCATCCAACCGGTCAATCAATGATTTCAAATCAAATGTCGATTCTATCTTACCGTGTTGCCAATGTTACTGCTTCCCTCTCCTTTGAGCGTTATCTTCAGTTGCTGTCAATGATCTCCACAGAGGAAAAGTCTTTTTGAAGTAACAAAAATAAACAACAATCCCAAAGGCGTATGGTAATATTTGAACAGGGACGCCGAACTAAAAAACCGTCTCGGAACACAAAACAATATGAAATTACAATAGGATACAAGTTAATTCCCCTCCCTCACTCAGAAACAAATAAAACAGAACATAATTGTAGATCAATTTTAAAAAAAATGTAAACTTTGGTTAACCATATATTATATATAGTCGTACGCCTGTTTTAGGCCATTACAGTGAACGATCATATGTGACTGACAATCGTCTCTGACAACCTTTATTTCACACGTAGATTATGTTGAGACTGGTTACTTCATAAGGACCTGTTCATTCTGTGTAGTTTTAGTGGCTGGCCCTGCCGATGGGTTTCATGTGTTTAACCATAGTTTTTCTGATTGTCAAGGTACTCCGTGAGCCTTGTTATTATAAAACTCCTTTGGATTTTTTTGTGTCACACGCAACTGTACTCGAGGTATATTATGGTACCTCAGTATATCCCCTGGTATCGAATGATTTTTTCTGACTTACGTAACATTCGGCCTCCATACGCAACAACTTTCGTTTCCATCCGAAGAAACGTGCGATAATACATAATCTTGGTATGTCTAGGATAAAAAAAACGGATTCCAACGTAAAATCTGAGTGTAACTCTGAAGCGAAAAATTCCCAAAACACACGAAGAATATTCTTCCCAATAATCTCTCTTCAGGTTCTACGATTATATATCCAAATTAATAAATCATAAAATTGGCCAAGATTGAGGCAGAGTACATCATGTTACATATACTCAGGTTTAGCAACTTGTTGTAGGTTTTTTCAAAGATTTTCAGCTCCTTCATACCTTGCTATCAAAGGATATTAACTTTGAATAGACTGATAAGTGCCAACATTCTTTCGACTGGTTAAAAAAGTTTTGTTCTACGCCAATTTTAACACATCCGGACCGTCCTCCTACTGCTAGCCGTTTTATCTGATACAAGTGCTCAAGCTATCGGTTCTGTATTATCATAATCTTATTACCATCGGAAAGAGGTGCCAACTTGGAAAGCATATGTTTTAAAGAATTATGTCAATTGTTGGGGATTCAGATAACTAAAATAACTCATAGTGTCATTGAATAAGAAAAAGAGAATTCAGCGAAGAAAATTTTCTTTTCGACGAAATCATTTACTCAAGCTGTACATTCGTATTTATTGTTATATGGAAAATGTATGTCTATAGGAGGACAGAAAGGATTATATCACAAAAATGACTTCGTCGAAAAGAAAATTTTATTCGCTGAATTCTCTTTTTCTTGTTGGGAATTCGCAAAACGCGAACAACTGCCTACCATCCAGAATGCAATGGGCTTATCAAGCGGACCAAACTGATTCTCAGAACGCTACTAAAAGCATTTTTTAGTCAGGAATAAGCTAGATCGATAGATCTAGCTATAAACAAGTGTTTCCTGGCATATAGCGATAGCGTCCATAGGTCTACTGGACATACACCTCATCTACTATGGACAAATGAAACTTCTAGAGGAGCTGCTAACACCCACAAGGCACCAAGACCCTTTATCAGCATCCACACATCTCGAGGAATTTACTCTGATGGCGATTTCAACCAACTGACCGAGTTGCTTGATACGTTTCTGGTAAGCTTATAAAAGTAGCCTTGAAATTCCAGTTTGCCTATAATAAGAAAACTGATTCAATAGTAAAATCATAGTGTAACACGGAAGCATGAGACTAGTACTGTAAAACAAAACTATGTGAATTAATAAGGGTGCTAAAAGATAAACAGTCAGCTGAACTACAAATCCAACCACCTGAAAAATATCTTCCTGGTGGATCGTTTTCTGTATGGGTACTAGAATGCCGACAATATCTGATGGATTTCGCCAGCAACCGACAAACTTGCTTACTAGACACCCTCATTTCTAGAGAAGTATTGAAGGAGCCAAGACTATCAAGTATAAGGATCCTACCGACAAAAGAAATAAATGATTCTCTTACTGAAATGCGACCAGTATTCGGGCCTTTAAGGCATCCTGATTCGTTAAGAGAAGTTTCATCATGCTCAGTAAAATGAAAAGTCAGCTACCTTATTGGACGCTTTAAAAATTAGCGACAGTGAAATCCGCAAATTATTCCAGAACGAAACTTGAAGAGATAGTTCTTAATCAATTTATCGAGAGTATAGACTTGGAACTACTATAAAAGTTTATTAAGCAAGCTCCCGAAAGCCTAAAACCTGCTCGTGAGCAAGCATACGGAATGATTTCAGATCGTTAGAGCCCTCGGTGAGACTATAATTTATGGACCTCTGAGCGACACTGAAGTGGCCTTAAGAATGTCTATCTACAGACTGACTAAACGAGGGTTTCAAACCAGTGTGAAGAATAAGGATTATGATTTGCAGTTGATGGTTAGGAATATGGATTAGATTTAGGGTTTTCATTACAAATTGATACCAGATAAAATGTCGAGACGCTATTTAGCCAAACAGATAAAGAATTTCGCGCGGAAATCCAGGACCTGTTGTCGTAAATATCATTGATTTAACTATAAATTATAGTCTCGTTGATCTCTCCACTGGAATCGCCGTTAGACTAAATCTTCTGACGGGTTTCGTGTATATTCTCAGCTCAGTTAGCTCTACATAACTACAACTGCCGAATTAAATGTATGTATTCAACCAATCAACCAATAATTCTAAACCGATTGTCATCCCTGTCTTACACAGAATGTAACACGTGTATTCAGCAGTCACTGGAAAGCGGGAAGACCTAAAGCCACAACACACACAATGTTAACTGAGCACTTCACACCACAGACATAACACGGAACGGAGGCCAACAGTCGTTAATTTGGAAATTGAAACTCGCGGGTTATGTACAGAATAGAGGGCTAGTTTACAAAACGGGCTTATGAGTCGTCCTGTAAGTTTAGTACGTGCAGGGCTTGCTCTTCTTCTTCTAAGGCATTTATTCTTGGTTGCCCTACAATAGAAAGAAAACAAAATTTATTAACAACATCATACATGGTGATTTTAATCCCGTTACATCGCTCCCTCTCCTAATGAGACCCTGTCCTCAGTGCCTGGTCTTGGGTATGGGTATGCTGTCCCTCCTTCTGATGGTATTTCATAAAATCTACTGGCCGGCGGTGGATTGGCGAATTGAGCATCGAAGGGAAATGTCGTCCGATCTGGTTTTATCTGGTTGTAGTGCACCGTTATCACGTCGTCTTTAGGCCGTTGTATGGTACGCAATACAAACGTGGTGGGCGATCGGATGAGAACAGTTTCAAAGGGGCCTTGCCAGGGCTGATGAGATTTACTGCAACCCCCTAGCGATGTCATTGGGCGGCGTAACCAGACGCGATCTCCAACTGTATACCTAGGTCCTTGTGCTTGACGATCATATATATCTTTTTGGTGTCCACTAGCCTTGCATAAGTTAATGTTGACCAGACGGTAGGCATCAGCTAGTCGGTTGCGAAGAGTACGTATGTACGGAACATGCTCTTGTTCTTCGTAGGGCAGCAGGGGTGACTGTATCTCTACTGGTAGGCGTAATTCGTGCCCAAACAGCAAAATAGCAGGCGAGAATCCCGTGGACCCATGTACAGACGTACGATATGCTAAAAGGCATTGGGGGAGCACCTCATCCCATAACTCAGGTGACGATCTGCTGACAAACGACTGCAAGATGGCTTTAATAGTTCTGTTTGTTCTTTCCACGAGACCGTTACCTTCTGGCTGATAGGCAGTGGTGTGTGTCTTCTTGATTCCTAATAATGGCATATCTCAGTAATGAGGTGGCTTTCAAAGGATGGACCTTGGTCGGAGTGGAGTGAGACAGGGGCACCATAACGGGAGACCCAATGATCGATGAAAGCTCGGGCAACAGTAAGGGCGTCTTGCTGTGGAAGGGGTACAGCTTCGCCCCATTTAGTGAAATAATCCACCATAACCAGTATGTAGCGGTTCCCGTTTTTTGTCGTTGTCAGTGGTCCCATGATAACTATGCCCACTCGCTGGTGTGGTCCTGTTGTCACCATCGGTGTCATTGGTGCACAGGGTGTCTGTTGGGGCGATTTAAAACGGCAGCACGTGTTACAATTCTTGCAAAACTGCGCTACATCTTCATGTATGGATGGCCACCAAAAGCGTTGACGCACAGCGTGTTCAGTTCTCCGTTCTCCTGCATGACCAAGTTCGCGGTGCACCTGTTCCACAATGCTCTCAACTTTCACTCGCGGTACTATCAGTAGGGGTTGTTTTGATTCATTAATTAGGAATAATGTGTCACCATATAGTTTAAGGTTGCTCCAATTAGTGCAAATACGACGAGTTGTTACGGCCTGATCTTTTAGCTCCCTCATGGATGGCTTCCTATTTCCATGTAGCTGTCTTTGACAAATAATCTGTAAGTTTAGATCTGTTGCTTGTAGGGAGGGCCAATCAGTCTCTGGAGCTGTGCTAAGAATTGCGTTAAGAGTATCTGTGGTGTGGGGTATTCTGGAGAGGGCATCCGCGTTTGCATATCGATTTCCCAGTCGATACCCGCATGTAAAATCAAACTTCTGTAGTCGAACCAATGATACCTTTGTACTTGTTGAATGCTCGATTTCGAATTCCAAGTACAATACATTCGTTTGTGCTTGTGTCTCACTTCTTAGTTCAATTGCGTTAATTCTGGGATTCCTAGTTCATAATACAATTCAAATAATTGAAATATTATATTGGCGTTGCGATGGAGCCTGCAATGGAAAAGTTAGATATTCATTCAACTCCTGAAGCTTTTGAGGATTACTTAGAAAGGTTCGAAATCTGGAGCATGACCAAGAAAGATGTTAAAGGTGATAAAATTGTGGCACATTTTCCGACATTCATTGGGAGAGAAGCGTACAGCTTATTAAAAACTTTGGCATGTCCAGAAAAACCTATCTCACTCCCCTATGCAACTCTTAAAGAGCTATTATTAAATCATGTAAAATGCACCACTTTTGAATGCCGTGAAAGGGCGAAGTTTCATAAGATGGTTTGTCAAAATGACCAAAAGGCTCCGGAATTCATCCTTGAATTACAGAAACATGCTGCCAAGTGTAATTTCGGTGATCAACTTCATGTGCAACTGAGAGATCGATTAATTGCAGGAATTAACATACCGAGTTTGGAAAGAGAGCTGTTAAAAATGCCAAACTGTTCCTTTCAAGATGCTAGAACTGCATGTATTAACTACGAAGCAGTCAATGAACTTGATATCCAGTCGATAAAGATTTCTAATACTTTGCTTAGTCGTCGTGATGAACTACAATCTCAGGGTCAATCATACTTGCGTTCATTTAACAGTGATTCCTATTTTCGTGTAAATATGAAAGGTGTTTCAACGAGGAATTACAAAGCAAATCACAAAGGTGAGATGAAGTTTGGTAAATGTTTATCGTGTGGAAAGTTTCATTCTCGCAATTCATGTGTATTTCGTAATGCTAAATGTTTTAAATGTGGTAAGGTAGGACAAATTCAGTCAGTATGCAAAGCCACTGTCCATTTTGCTTCAAGCTGTACTAAATCTAGTAATTTAAATTTCAATAATTCGGATGTTTCTAGTGATCATTTATCTCTGTTTTCTATTTCAAAAGGTAATGCTCATATTCAAAAACGACTATATACATCGCTTGGTTCATTTCATGACTTTACTCTGGACACAGGTAGTATAGAGTCCATTATTTCATTCAAGAACTTGAAATCTTTGGATCCTAATGTTGTTGTACGACCCACTGAAGTATCAATATTGGGGATTACTGGACACAGACTGCCCATACGAGGATGTTGTGAATTGCTAATAAGAGATGATAATTCTTCATACATTCCTTGTGAATTTTTAGTTAGTGAAACAGGACTGTCAATTTTGAGTTTAGAGAATTTGAAAAGGCTTGTAGCGTGGCGTCGAGTTGAGATTAACTGTGAACACCGCTACCAAGAAACACGTGCCAATTAGATCAAAAGGCGTAAGAAGCTCGTTCCAAATGACTCCATAAAATCCCCGAGAAGCCGAATACCAGAAGGCAATTAATGGACCAAGTCGATGTTTATTTGCTGGCGATCTCGTGGCATCGAAAGGATACCGAGATCGTGCCAGGATACAAGCTTGGTTACAGAACGTAACCGAATTCGCGCGAAGTTACAATCAAAGTGTAAGTATAAGAATGGAAGCACAAAATAGCTGTCATTAGCACAGTCAAACAAAAGCACGTTAAAACAAACACTGGTACAGTTGGTTTTAATAATAATTGTTTTTATTAAACCAGTCGTGTTCTCGTGATAAACGTGAGTCACTACAGGCTTAAGGTGGAGTTGTCCTTCCTAGTTTCTAAAGAAAATTCGGATACTTTACTTAAAGATTTGATAGCTATGTGTGCTAAGTGCAGTGGAGGTATGAAAATTCAGCCTATAAAACTTCAAGTACAGGGTGATCCCGTCTTTCTTAGAAGACGAATAATGCCTTATGATCTTCGAGAAGCAGTACGTAAGACATTAAACGACTTGTGTGCGAAAGGCATAATTGGACCAATTCAGTCTTCAGCATGGAGTACTCCTATCGTTACGCCACTGAAGTCGGATGGCAAGACCCCTAGAATTTTTGGTGACTATAGATTAACTCTGAATTCCCGTTTGTTGAAGCAAACGTGCACGACGGTAGAAGCTGAAGATATTCTAAATCGACTTCATGGTTCTAAAGTGTTCTCGAAAGTTGACCTAAAAGATGCTTATCTTCAAAATCCCTTACATGAAACTTCATCTATTTTGACGACAATTAACACTCCTTTTGGTCTGTTCAAATACAATTTCCTTCCATTTGGTCTAAGTTGTTCTCCAGCCATATTTCAGGAAGTTATGAATAAAGTAGTTAGTAATCTTAAAGGTGTTGAAGTTTATCAAAATGATCTCATTGTACATGGTTCCGACAAGGTAGTTCATGACCAGAGACTTGTTGCTTTACTGAGCCGTTTGTTTAAGAAGAATATTATAGTGAATCCAAATAAGCGTTCATTTTGTTATTCTAGTTTTAAAGTCTTGAATACCTAGTTGATGGTAATGATGTTAAAGCAGATATAAAACGTCTAGCTCCACTGACAAATACACCGTCTCCGAAAAATCTTGCAGAACTACGCCCACTAGTGAGTGCCCTTCAACACTAACTCCGTTTTATTCCTAATTTTTCCTGTCGTGCAAATTGTTTATTTAATATTTTGACATCCAATTCATTCAAATGGGGTGAGGAACAGAGTCATGCTTGCGAAGTTTGCGAACGTTTCTTCAAAGTGATGCTGTTCTTCGAACTTACCCCTCTTGTGTACATTCTGTGCTCATTACTGATGCACCACCTGTGGGTATTCGAGCAGGAAGGTAGATCAGTTATCTGTGTTTCACGCAAACTTACTGTTACTGAACAAGGTTATTCACAGACTCAGCGAGAAGCATTGTCTGTGTTTTGGGCTGTTAAAAGACTTCATAAATATTTATTCGGAAAGAAATTCACTGTTGTTACTGATCATGAAGCTTTAAAGTTTATTTATCATCCCGAAAAATCCTTAGCACGTTCCTCAGCAGCTATGGTTCAGCGATGGAGTATTGCTTTGAGTGCATATGACTATAAGGTTCAGCACAGAAGTGCCAAACAGATTCAACATGCTGACTACATTTCTCGACAGTCATTACAAGATAAACCTATTAATACTTCGGATTGTTTGTTAGTGCAACCTTTACCAGTGAGACGTTCAAATCTCATTAGAGAAACTCGTAGATACATTCGATATATGCTCAGTGCTATAAGGAAAGGTTGGAATGCTAATTT